TATATATATATATATATATATATATATATATATATATATATATATATATATATATATATATAATTGTGATATTACCTTCGATAATAATAATGACATAATTTTAGCTAATACAATGACGAAACTGTCGCTTTTCAGTCACAGCTTTCCTACGATTACGCTCATTCAGCTCAAGAGCGTCAAGTCGTACGTGCACTATCCACATATCCGAATTATTACGGCAGTCCTAGCTCGCGCTCCAAATGTCCTGATCGATACCGAAGTCCGATTCAGCATGAAATGCCTGGATACAGTAATTACGGATTTCATGCGGAAATGATGGAGATCGAGATTGCCCGCGCCGCGGCGCAAGCGCGCGTCCAGAACGCGGAGGCGAGTAATCGTCAAATACCACTAGCACGCAGCTTCTCCCCAGGCACGTATTTCTCTCTGTCCTACAAAGAATATTAAAAGGTATTACGTCTCCAGGCTTGGAGGAATTCTCGAGCAGCACCGAACGACATGGTTTACGCGCAGCCGAAGATCTGCAGAGCGTGGAGAGTGGTTCTAGAGGAGGAGAGGAAACCAGAGATTACCTGCGACATGGGTGACTACTCGCCTACTCCTACACCACGAAACAAACTGTATCCTATGAGATACGCAAGTCCAACAGTTGTAAGACTGCAAGATAGGATCGATGAAGAGAACGAGGACGAGGACGAGGAGGACGATGAGGATGATCAGCAAGACGAAGGCATCAGCAGAATTACCCGCTTTTGACAAAGATACTTGTGATTTTAGCACGAACAGTTCAATAGTTTCTACGTCACGTATATAAGTTCACGAATTCTAGACACATTCTTCCTCTTATTTGAAATTTCACGTGAGGCGTCCTGAGGGAGTTGTCGGATTTAAAAAATGTCGTAAAATTTGGAAATAGCGACTAACACAAGTATGATTCGCGCTCTCTAAATTTTTCATTTGGAAAACAAATTTTCCACTTAGAATCGTCGAGTGGCAATTTTCATCCGAAATTGAAGAGCATATCTAATGTATTCCGCCGTCAGGGGAATCTATTCTAATCATCCATATATGACCGTTATCACCTAAAACTTGTCTCATGTGAGATACTCAGATTTTTATTCAAAGAATTAGATTCAAAATTTTCAGTTAAATTATAACATATGTGACATTTATATATATCTATAATTGTGATTCGACTGAAAAACGTTCTAATCTAACTTTGAATTCAAATTTGTATATCTCGTTTGAAACTTGTCTCATGTAAAATATTCAGAGAGAGAGATATGAATTTGAAGTTATATTTTAGTTATTTTGTTTGAATCATATAATATATGCAGCATTGCAGTTGTAATCGCAATTCGATTGTGAAAAGCTTTCATCTAACTCTGAATTCAAATCTGTGTGAGTACATTAAATTTAATATTTTTTAGGCCTATAAGCGATAGTCGCATGATTTTGTTTGCAAGATTAATTTATTTTTTAATTAATTAGTTATGTATTTAATTATTTAATTGACTATTATTATTTAATTAATTAATTATATTTATACTTATAAAGCTATACTTCTCTGTTGTTTGGCCAAATCTGAGTTGATACAAGTTTAAAGTAATAATTCTTAATACAAACCTAAGGCCCATATTAATACTTATTATTTTACAACTTGTTCCAGAAAAAATATTCAGATCTGAATTTAATTAAGTTTTTTATTTAAATCATATAATATATGTGCGACATTGCTTTTGTAATCGCGAAAAATCAATTGAAAAGCTCTCGTCTAACTCTAAATTCAAATCTGAATGTTCCACTAGAAATGAGTTTCAAGCAATAACTATTAATACGAGTTTAAGATTTTCGATTAAACGTTCATCGATAATTAGGGATATTTTCATAACCTCCTGAAGTGAATTCTCACTAGTTTTGAGCGAAATTTCACTCGAATAAATTCAAAGATCAAAGAGGTAGTTCCCGTTTTCTCTAGTGATAGCTTCTCTCTCTCTCAGTTCGATGTTGCCTAATGAGTTTGAATTTTGCCGAACACCGTATGCTACCAAGCTCTCCTTCCCTTCATCCCTCTCTCTCTCTCTCTTCCTCTCTCGTTGTACCACGACCGGCTCGACCAACGACGGAAGTTTCTCGTTATATTAGATACGGACGCGCGAGCGAGGACGCGAGCGAAGCGTAGCAAAGCCTGCGCCGTGCGCGGCGCAGAATCAATTTGGCATGCACCTCGCCGAAATTGCATTATGGTCGATCGTAATTTCGCAAGCAGGGCACCAGGTGTACGCGCTCCGCGGGAATATCGATGACGAGATAGCGAGAGCCGGGGTGCTCGCAACAAAGGGACTCGCGAAAATGCAGTTTGCGCTCGTCACGATGCGACATATGTGGCGGACAATTCGTCATCCCGTCGCCGCGGATCTTTGTCTCTTTTTGCATCCTTTTTTGCCATTTATTCGACGCGTTTCCCGGGTCCCTCGTCATTGCCATCGAATGTAACGCGTGCATGATAATGTGAATTCCACTGAATGATTGAGATCCAATCCACTACGATCTGACAAATTTGCACAGTCGATCCGGCTTTAATGAAGGCGTCGAGACGTTAATAGTCTTAGCGAACCGGACGAATAAAAGAGCAGTTGGCCTGCGTCCACGTGAATTAAGTTCCCGCGATTTAATGAAGCTCCACACAGTCCAGATAGACCGGAGTCTCTCGCGGAATTTTTATCCCGGGATCTGAGCGGGAGTAATCGGAGTATAAAACTCACAACGTCCGAGGACAGAAAGGAGAAGAGAAAACACGCGCTACCACGTAGCCCTCCGAAAATTCTATCAAGCCGGTGCAGCCGTCTCGTCGATCTCCTCGCCGACGTTCTCTTCTATGGTTTACGATCGTGCGCGCGCGCGGTGTAGTTTACTCTTCCAGATCATGAGGCCACCATGAGGACCGCGAAAATCGGACTAGCTGGCGGCGGCCGATAAGCCGTCATAATGGAAATAAATCGGAAAGTGCATCAGCTCGTGAAAGGGTGCGCCGTTCGGACCTTCGCGTAACCCCCATGAAAAAGCTTCTGCGCAAGAACGAGCTTCACCAGCTATAAAAGCCCTCACGAGACTCATCCGCTTTCCAGTCACGTTTAGGGCTGCCTTACAAGTGACGAAAAAAAGAAGAGGTATTCGAGAGAAGTATCCGTCGCTACTTGAAATACGTGCGTTTGTCAGAGCAAGGTGAAAGAGAAAAGAAGAGAGGGATAGAGAGAGAAAGAAATTCGATCGCGGAATTTATCGACATTCGAGAAAGATCTTCGTCTGGTTCTCGGGCGAATAGAATGGCAGCACACACGTAGAAGCTGTCCTGAAAAGCGTACTCTCTGTGCAACGTGCTCTCATTCGGCCAATTTACTTTTCCATCCTTTCTCGTTTGTGTGCGGAAGACGTGCGACCAATCTCAAAATTTCGCTCTATATATCTCACACTCGCACTTGCGCGCTCAGCGCCGACATCGCATTCCGGATTTAACAGCGACATTATTCGCTATCGAGAGAGAGAGAAAGAGAGAAGAAAGCGACCCGGAAAATATATATTACGGCACCTAAATCTCTCCTAAGGACTCGCACAAATCTTGAAAATTCTGCGCTGTTCTTGTAAATTTATTCGAGCACCTGCCGTGAGCACCCTGTCGTTTGCCAGTCTCCGCGTTTCTTAAAGAACATCCGTCAAAGACGTGGTTTAAAGACATAAACGCGATTTCAAGAGACAAGTCCCTCGAAGTGTATCGCGCGCGCGGCCGTGCATGTGTGTGTATGTGTGTGTGAGTATGTATACGCGCGTGAGCGCTTGTCTGTGAGTAGAATATCTCCTCGGAGAGGATCGATGATCAAGGATGAGACTGGGCGACATGTCGAACAGCCGCATAATCACCGTCGCGGTGGTTTACCTGAGCCTCTTCCTGGATAATGTCCTGTTGACGGTAGTCGGTAATTAAACCAAGCCGACCGAGAGAGAACCCGGAGCCACGGGCCGCCACAGTTTGCTGATCCGGAAATGTTTCAGTGCCGATTATTCCCGATTATCTGTGCACGCTCGACGCGAATACGACGACCGCGACGAGCGCCGAGAAGGAGGAAGACGAAAACGGCAGGGTGGGATTACTATTGAGCTCGAAGGCTCTGGTCCAATTAATTTTGAATCCGGCCGTGGGGACCCTCACCGGCAACTTGGGCTACGCCAGACCTCTGTTCCTAGGGAATCTCAGCCTCCTGTTGGCTGCTTTATGTAAGTTGCAGATGACACTTTTTACGATGATCGTCTGTCACGCGGATAGAGTCAATGACGTGCAAAAAAGGGACGTGACGGTAAACGGTAATAAATGCACGTTGATATAACGAGAAAATATAAGAAGGACGCTCGCGGCCCCATGTTTTTATGTGCGTAACAGTGAGAGCCGAATACTAGCGAGTGTTATAAAAAATTACACCCCAAATTGCAATTACATTTTTCGGTCCTCGCGACCTGAAGAGCTTTCTAATAATTCCAATTCCATGATGAATTTTATTCACCAAATTTTTGTCATTATTTCAGCTAATTATTAAGTTGATTATTTATTTTATGATAGAAATGTTATAACGATTTTATTATTATAGGGTTTTATAGTGAATATTTTGAATAATAAATATTAACAAATTATTATTTATTATTTATCAATTCAATTATTTATTTTATCAAACTATTACTATTTATTAATTACTATTTATTATTTATCATTTCAATTATTTATTTTATTCAATTATTTATTTTATGATAGAAATGTTATAACGATTTTATTATTATAGGGTTTTATAATGAATATTTTGAATAATAAATATTAACAAATTACTATTTATTATTTATCAATTCAATTATTTATTTTACCAAACTGTTACTATTTATTAATTACTATTTATCATTTCAATTATTTATTTTATTCAATTATTTATTTTATGATAGAAATGTTATAACGATTTTATTATTATAGGGTTTTATAATGAATATTTTGAATAATAAATATTAACAAATTACTATTTATTATTTATCAATTCAATTATTTATTTTATCAAACTATTACTATTTATTAATTACTATTTATTATTTATCATTTCAATTATTTATTTTATTCAATTATTTATTTTATGATAGAAATGTTATAACGATTTTATTATTATAGGGTTTTATAATGAATATTTTGAATAATAAATAATAACAAATTACTATTTATTATTTATCAATTCAATTATTTATTTTATCAAACTATTACTATTTATTAATTACTATTTATTATTTATCATTTCAATTATTTATTTTATTCAATTATTTATTTTATGATAGAAATGTTATAACGATTTTATTATTATAGGGTTTTATAATGAATATTTTGAATAATAAATAATAACAAATTACTATTTATTATTTATCAATTCAATTATTTATTTTATCAAACTATTACTATTTATTAATTACTATTTATTATTTATCATTTCAATTATTTATTTTATTCAATTATTTATTTTATGATAGAAATGTTATAACGATTTTATTATTATAGGGTTTTATAGTGAATATTTTGAATAATAAATAATAACAAATTACTATTTATTATTTATCAATTCAAACAATTAATCGTTTATAATCGCTCGTTAAATTAGCCCCGTACTTACGAAAATGCACTTTTGCCCTTTTCTCTGTTCGTCAATTTCGCGTATGAAGACGCTCAATTATTCAACAGTTTCCCAGCGAATACTAATCTCGAGTACTTATGATCGTAGTGTTCGCCTTTGGGCAGACTTACGAAGTGCTGTTCTTAGCCCGGAGTGTTCAAGGTATAGCGTCGGCGTGTATAGCGGTCTCGGGCATGTCCCTCGTCGCCTCTCAGTACCCCGAAGAAGATGAGAGATCCAAGATCATGGGTTTCGTTCTGGGCAGCATCGCGCTGGGTGTTCTCTTGGGCTATCCCGTCGGTTCCGTGTTGTATGATCTCGAAGGGAAAATGGCGCCCTTCCTGTTGATATCCACTCTCATCGTTATCCTGATTTGTGAGAAATCTTCTAATATCATAAAACCTCAGAGAATTATTTTACATATTATATTTCCCAAATATCTAGACGTTCAAGTGCCTTATTTGTCGACACAGGTCTGCAAATCTTCACACTAGACATTCAGACTGAGGTGAAGGTGAGTGTATCGCAATCAACGAGAATAACTCTCTAATATATCTTCATCATTTTTTTACGACTTTCTGCCGATAATGAAAGACACATTTGTTTCTTTCTTTTTATGTAAAAAGCGTGCGACATGCGATTCACATACTGAGAGCATTTATGAATGCATCATAATTAAGTCCTCATTAATTCTGACGGCATTCTCTCTTGTTATAGTCGCCGAACGACCAAGAGCAAGGCACTTGGATGCACTTGCTGTCTAATTCGCATATCCTCATCATCTCCGGCGCGATTTGGTGCTCGACATCGCCGATAGCGATATTGGAACCGTGCTTGCCAATTTGGCTTCGGACTCACATCAAACCCAAGGTGCGTCATGGAAGATACAGCGTAATATTCGGCCAAAAGGAAAGATTAAGAAAACTGGTGGATTCTGATTAATTCTGATTAACGCGGCGTCAATCCAGGCAAATCGTCGCGTCAATTAACATCACTTTCAGAAGTGGCAACTGGGAACGGTGTTCATACCAGACAGCGTAGGCTACTTAATCGGGACCAACTTCTTCGGCATGATTGCGTACCGCTATGGTCGCAGTAAAGTGGCGATCCTGGCAATGTTCTTGGTCGGCGTGAACGCCGTTCTGATCCCGTCGGCGAGCACGATGTCGCAGCTGATATTCCCGCACCTCGGGATGGGTCTGGGTATCGGCGTCGCCGACGCAGCCTTGGTGCCGTTGCTGGCCAGCTTGGTAGACCGGAACGGCAACTACGGGCCCGTTTATTCGATCCAACAAGTGGCCGTCAGTCTAGCTTACTCCTTGGGTAAAGTATCTCACGACGAGGTAATTCATGAAACGCAACGTGCCACGGAAAACGGGAACATTGCACTCGATACTCAATTTCATCAGTTCCAGGTTTTTGAATTTTCATTAATTTTCAGGAATTTTCATCAATTCCTAACTTCTCTCAAGTTTCCTCTCGATGCACACATATCTGCGCTCGTATCATATTTATAATATCAAATTTGTAATATTAATATAAAGGATGTCTGACAAGATAGGTGGGAGAACACTCGTGTACATGTAGACTGGATCAAATTGAACACAAAATTTTTCTCTACCATTTTGCAAACAAACACATAAAGTTTTTGTAGTACAAGATGTGACAGTAAAAGCAATTTGCATTGTGTGCTTGTATATTAAATTTAACTAAACAAACAAGTCATGTACCATTTTGCAAATAACTACACTGAGAAAAAATGATATTTGCAACTATAATCGCATAGTGAAAAATTTATGGTCAAAAGAATTATTTACTATAGTGTTAATGAAATAATCGTATGTGCATGTATTTACTACTGCATGTTACTACTGCTTTTTTGTTAGATTAACAAGAAAAGTTGGCGCCGAAAATAACGATAATTTTAGTAACATTTATTTTTTTCTCTGTACACGTAGATTTCTAAATTATTAATTGAAGAACGCATTAATTAATTGGCGAACGATCGCATTCGCTAATCTTCTTTAATTGATAATTCAAAAATCTATGTGCTTATTTGCAAAATAATAGAGAAAAATTTTGTGCATATTTTGATCTTAATCTACATCTATGTTTCTCCGCTTATCTCCTCAGCCATTTTGTATAATTACAATATTACTCAGAAAGTGAATTATTCTGTCTACGCGACTCGAAATATACTCAAAGAGAAAAATAAATAATATAATCTTTCTTTTCCATTAAAGGACCTATCATGGGCAGCGAAATGGTCAAAGCCATCGGCTTTCCATGGGTCATGCGAATCGTGGGCATTGTGAATATAGCGTACTGTCCATTATTGATATATCTCACGTTGGAGCGAAGGAAACTGTTGACCAAGACGCAAGAGAAAAAGGACTACGACACGTTCCAGAAATCTATCGCGCCGTATGAAATATTTCACGACTCCGATGACGATCTTTGACGGTAAATAACAACCGCAAACCGACGCCAATAAATCCAACAGCTAGGTGGGTCGTTAAAAAAAATACGTGGCCTGCCCTTATAGAAATATCATACTAAGAATCATTGATAATTACTTATTATCCAGTATTTTTAATACTGAAAATAAGTAATTTTCAATTATTCTTAGTATGATATTTCTATAAGGGTGATACAGAAATAGCGCGTGAATTTGACCAAATCTTCCCGAGTCGAAATTCTGATCCTACTTTCAGCTTCACTATTCCATTCAACCCATATTTTGATACTCTGAAATCTACATCAACCTCTTTTGATTCTACTTAATCTACCCGAGTCGAAATTTTGATCTTACTTTCAGCCTCAGTATTACATTCAATCCCTATTTTAACGCTAAAGAAAGTAAAAAAGGAAATTTCAAACATCATCCGAGTCAAAGTAAGAATAAATTATATCATTAGAATAAATTGTATCATTAAACTTACTTTGCCAACTTAACTCCTACTACGTTGTAGAATTTAAGGTTTAACATAGAACCAAAACTTCGACTCGGGTTTATCTCAGAGGTATATTTTATTACTTTATTTAAGTATGACACAGTACAGAATGATCTGTCGATTGATTTTTGTTTAGCAGTGTACCAAAATGACCTCCGCAAGAGATGGGTCCTGCATAATTCAGTCAGACCAGTAAAGACTGAACTGAACAGTTTCCTTGTTTCTCCTTTTCGCCGCAACTCGACGGACTTTCAGCACCGATTTATAATTATTGACGAAAGTGGGTCTACCACTTCACTCGAGAAACAAAATAACAATCAAAGTAATGAACACTCGAGGCGTTCACTTTGACGGACTCTAACAAAGACTAATCGACAGATCACTCCATTCTATCACATTCATAGACATAGTAAGAATAGACCGAGCATGTTCTCTACTAGTGAAAATCAGATAGAAAAGAACAGAAAGCAGGTACCGTATAGCTTTCTCTTTCTAACTAGGAAGGAATAAGGGAGAGAAATACACGACATCTTCCGTCTCTTTCTACCTGATCTTCAGGTTTTGCGTCTCATGCTCAATCTATTCTTATGTCTATGGTCATCCTCAACCTAATAAAAAGTAACTTTGAAAAACATAATTAATGAAAATTGATAGTAATGAAAATTCATAAGTAATGAAAATTCAGCCAAATTCACACTATCTCTATATTAGAACACGTACTTTTTGAACAATCCACGTAATTACGAATCCGAAGTTGAACGTTGAACTATTGCATTTTCCGATGCGTGTTAAAATTGTTTCCCTTATATCTTGAAAGTAGAGTAGTGATGAAGTATTTTAAAATATATCTCCTTATGAAAATTATATATAAGTTCAAGACGAGTTATAAGAGACGAGTCCTCCATTAAAATACCTAAATATACATGGTAACAAAATTTTGTGAAATTTTCAACTTATAGTCATATCAATGAATGTGTTTTGGAGGTTTTCCTTTGAAAAGTACATCGATGTAGATATAAAATGTATACCACGATGAATAGCAAAAGCTTATCTCTATTATATGAAACGTCTAAGAGAAGGTAAAAGTTCAAATGCCTGAATATTAATAATACTGGTAACCAAACTCTGAACATTCTTACTGTTTTAGCGTTTAAATATAAATATTTGAACTTTCACAACGTAGAATATATGTATGCTGTAAAAAATTTTACGTACAGATGTTAAATTTCCTTGTGTTCATGACCAATTCATGATTATTATATTTTAATGTCAAATTATTGCGCGACTACCAAATTGTTTAACTTGAACAACTACAATTTCTGACTAAGCCTGCTTGATTAAGCAGAATCTTCTTAACTTGAACAAAATTCTGGTAGTTTTAAACAGAATCTCTTGATTCGCATATATTGCACCACACATTTGGTTAATCCAACCAAAATGTTTTTTCTGTATATTTAAAGGCCAAAATTACAAGAATATCTAGAGTTCGACATCAGTGTTATTAGTATCCGAGCATTGGCGTTTTCACCTTATAAAACGTGACAGATTCAACCTTTGTTCGCCGAGCGCTCGATTTTATCACCCCAGTGATAAAACCCGATCGATTATCGCATAATTGATGCGAACTCTTGTCTCCGTATCGGCATACAAATGCGGTATGGTGAATATCGTTAAGTCCACTTTTAGAGATACCTCGAAATAGCATCCGGTAACGTTATTGTGTCCCCGATTAAGCGGGTCTTCGTTTCGTACTTGACAACTAAGTGAATTATTGGCTGAACAGCATCTCCCCGAGACTGTCATCTATGACATCACGACATCCTCGGATCAAGGAGCAGGAATTCGTTGAATTCGAGAGCGTTGCGTGAACAAGGAACACGCGAGACGGAGTTCCTAATTGCGGAGAACGACGATCGATCGGCCAGCCGTGCGAGCGACCGACCGACCGACCGACCGACCAACCGACTAAATCGACCGACGCGGCTCCCTGAAAGCTTATTAATGCACTCAATCTACGGCGAAATTCGTTTACGTTGCATTAACGCTCTTGGTGCATATTGCAAGCATTGACTCGTCATTTACGTACGTCGCGTCGTACTTGATGAATGAGCATCCTACGAGGCAAACTCGCTGCGGCAAGGTGAGAGGAAATACGCGAGATCCCGAAAGCAGAGAGGTGACACAAATAGCGTTTCATTTGCACTCCAAACACGTAAACGGAGAAAAGGCCGCTGCCGCTGCTTCCAGCCGAAATACCAGACTTAAATGGCCGTCTACAATATGCGGAATAAGCTTAGCGTAGGTTTGAGTAAGAAATAAAAATTACTTATTTTGTTCACGGGCCTATATCCTAACTCTAACCAGAAGTATTTCTCTAAAGTAAAAGATATAAGGAAGTTAGTGTATAGGCATAAGTGATTACAACAATTTTATAGCAAAAAGTACATAACATTTTTAAACAAATCGTAATTTTGGTTATAATTTTGCATAGTTCAAGATTATAAAAATTTGGTTATAATTTTTACTACAATATTTTCTCCGTATCAAAAAAGACCAGTTAATAGACACAAAATAGGATATAAACTTAATATAAAATAAACAAAATTTAATATAAAAAGAACTAAAATCTCCTATAATAATTCACATACCTTATAACACTGATAATTAAATAAGGAGTCAAAAAATGACTGTCTTGGACATCTAAAGTAAATCATAAAATAATTCATCGAACTCTCTGCCGTTACTCTTTCAGCATATTCTACTTTAAATAATAAAATAATTAAAAGTCATGAAAGAAATTTTCTCCTACACTATTAGAAATAGAAATGGTGATAATAAAAGGATCTTAAAGAAGTCAAAATAATTCCATCAAGCATTCTAGTGTTAAGGGAATGCCAAAGACGAAGATGACGAATTATAAATTATCGATAACGTAAAAGCGATCGTCAAAATATTATGTCACATAAACACCTATCACGCTGCTTTTTTCGTATTTCTTATACACATTAGATATTATACACTAAAAAAAATCTAAAAAATATTTATTCAGTGTGAATAAATATTTATTCAGTGTGAATACTAATGACATATTTACTTAAATTTAAATCGTTTTGTTTAAATAGAAGAAATAATTGCTTTCATAAAAAGCAACGGTGGTTCTAAAAAATATATATAAATATATAAATATATAAATATATTTTTTTTATATATAAATATTTACATATAAATATATAAATATATTTTTTTTTCTCGTTTGAAAGGAATATATTATCAATGTAAAAATATGTATATTAGTACAAGCAAACTTTTGTCATTAAACTCATTAAATTCGTTATTACAAATTTGCTATTGTATCCATTGAATAAATATTTCTTATTTTTTCGATATTTTTCTCTTTCAGTGTATAAATGTGTACTGCTTTCTTTTACTATTTTTAATACAAAACATAACCACGCGTATATAGAAATCTGAACTTCTCGTATACTTCAAAGCTTCAAAATTCAATAAAGAGAGAATGCAGCAATGTTCATTAAAATGTTCCTGAGCGAAGTAAACACATGTTAGGTATTTACAAACTACAGAGCTTTTGTATCAGATAAACATGTATGCTAGCTAACAGCTCGAAACGTCAATTGAAATTTTTATCGGTTTCGTCACGTATTGAACAATGCTTCGGACCATTTTTACACGTACTTTCATTATATATTTCATTATAAAAATACTTGTAATTCTGTGCAATCAATATGCGCAAACTTTATAGAAAAAAGCCAATATTTTATCGGCAAAGTTTTCAAGTGTGACATCACGTTAAGTATCATCGGCACTTCATTACGCTCGATACAGTCTCGATTATTTTTTCAGCATAATGCAAAATACCCAGATATACTTTCATGATTATCACGATGTGAGACGATCAATAATGGGAACTTTACAATTCTTTTCGTTGCATCTATGAAACAAATATACTGTGTATTGAATTAACTATTAAATTTACATCACACGATAATGTAAATTTTTTGTTGTATTGAGGCAACAACAAATTTATTGAAAAAGTTACACTCAGATTTTTATATTATGTTTAACATGGGGTATTGTTTGAGGCAAGCTTTGATCATTTTTTTCGTACTTCTTTCGCACTTCTTTCCACTTTGTAATTTTATGTGATAAAAATATGAGTTTAATCTAATCAATATTAAAAGATCCAACATTACTGAATTTCGTGATTTAATATACTTAAAGTTGCTGTAAAATTTATGTACACTGAGAGAACATTAGTTCCTTTTTCGCATAAATTCAGTTTTTTTTTCAATTTTACTGTTTTTAGTAGTTCAAGAGTAAACTGTCAGTAAGATCTATCTTGCTAAGAAACATAGCAAGTGTTTTAGTACTACATCTCAGTTCCTAAAATTTATGTTTAGCACATATGAAATAAGACCATACAAAGATATGAATTACTGCAAAATGTCTATTCTTCGGTTACAGAATCCTAAAGAGAAATTTTTACTATAAAATTCTCTCTGCGTACATCAGTTTATCATGGTACTGTATAGTACCAGCCGTCTAGTCTTCTCATAATCGCTTCATGTCTCGTGTATAATGAAAAGGGTGCGCATAAAATATGTATACACGACACCGTCGCAATTCTTAAAGACCTGGATTACGTTGCAGAATCATGAGAGGGAAATACAGAGTCGGAAGTAGCGCGCTACCTATAACGCCCTTACCCATTACGAGTGACTTTTTCTCAGTAACGACTTGGTAACTTGTTTATTTTCTTTTCTTCCCTTTGTAACTATAACGAGTCTTTTCTCCAATAGCTAACGAGTAACGAGTAACGGTAACGCGTTACTTTTCGCGAGTAACTTTCCCATCACTGGGGGAATGTGATTTCGTCGATTCGCTGGGATAATAAGCGTTCGACGAGTTACGTCGTGTTTTTTCGGTGTTTATTATTCCTCGTTCGCTCGGCATCGATCGGCAGCACTTGTCGGGGTGCGATCGTGATTGTTGCTATTCCCGAGCGCCGGTATAATGAGTCGACCATTATTCTCCGGGCAGCCCAATAATTTCGATTTGTCAGACAAAGCGCGGCGCAAATATTGGTCCTAGGAATGTTCAAGCGCGCAGATAAATCTCGGCTATTTTCCCCGAGAAAGTCGCAGGCGTAACGTAAACAAGCGGCCGCGCGGGGGTCGCTCGTTCCGTGGGTTTTGTAAACGGGCGGACGAGGAGCAGCGCCGCGCGAGACGAGGCGAAATGGGGCGTGATTTTGCGCCCCGGGGTTCGTCCGGCGAACAACGCGATCGTCATTAGCAAGGGTATCGGACTAATCGCGCTGTCGCGCAACGGAGACTGAACGCAACCCCCGGTGGGACGACGTGCGTGCGTGCGTGCGTGAGACACGCAGCTCTTTCTAAAAATAAAGCGTCCCCCTGAAGGACCTTGTACGCCAGTTTGTTCGTGCCGCCTAATTATATCGATATTTCGTGGAGTAGATGTTACTAATTAATCACTGACGCTGATCGCGTTACGGTTGTCGAAGAGTTACGGGAATATACCGTTCTAGCTTGTATTGCCTCCAATCTGTAAAGTAAGTATATATCAAATATAACTTTGGTAGAAATTCAATTATGAACATTCAAAAAGTGAACCTCGGACATGTGAATTTTACTCGGCATATTGTTTCCTCTTGTTCATAATTACTTGAATGCGGAAAGGAAAAGTTTGATATTTCTATCATTCAATATCTCGTGTATTTACTTTAAATTTAGAACCAAAATTTTATGATTTCTTTTTTAATTAGGATGGAAATCGTCGAGAAATATGATTTTACTAATATTTTGCAATTAAAAAAAGTGGAAAAGTTCTAATAAAAGGTAATACACACAATTTTATAAACGGTAACGTTCTAAAAGTTAGTTTGATTAAATTTTATCTACGCTCGGGGTTCTAGAGTTAATGCGGTTTTCGAGTAGCCACTGGACAGTTATGATAACTTTTGTCTAGCAACTGAAGAGTAAAACTTGGAAACGCAATCAAGATATAACGCCCTTCCTGCAGTTACTTCGCACGAAAGATACACGAAATCTGAACCCACTGACTGAATGAGAAAACAGAATATAAAATGGACAAGAAATTATTTCATTGTAGTCAATA